TATATCTGAGATACCATATACATAGGAGAGTGGCGAGCGAATGACATGGGAGGTAAGCAAACATTTGTCTATGTATTCCAAATACATCCAAATCTACTTGGATAAAGTATATCTATAATTCATTCCACCTAATTTTAACCTCATATATCCCGAGATACACGTATCGGACTACACCAAAATCTGAGATATCTTAATTAGTGAAATTTCTGTAAGTTTCTCTTACCGGCTCTCGATTCTTCCAGAATATGGGTTCAGGGGCATTTATGTCTTTTCCAAAATGCCATGAAAGTACACCCCATCTAAATAAATTCCCATGATAATTTTTCATTTCATCACACATTTTGTTCTATCAACAAACACAGAGCACAAATTTTTTCCAATAAATTAAAAAAAAAAAAATCCTCAACAAAACCTCATCGGAAAATCATGTCGTGGCAAGTATATGTCGATGAACACCTCCTGTGTGACATCGAAGGGAACCACCTTAGCGCCGCCGCTATCATCGGCCTTGACGGCGCCGTTTGGGCTAAAAGCTCAACTTTCCCTCAGGTCTCTTTTTTTTTTTAAAATGATTTTGTGAAAAAGTTTGGATCTTTGACTGATTTGGGGTTCTGAGATTTAGTTGATTTCTCGGGTGCTTACTCAACTAATAGTTATTGTTTAAGAAAATCAATAATATTGGAAGCAAGGAGAATGGTGACTTTCAGGATGATAACTATTGGTTGAGTGAGCATCTAAGAAATCGACGTGATTCTGAGAGGAAGATGATTGATTGAAAGATCTATTTAGTAAAAAAAATGTTTTTTTGTTCAATTGGATTTGATGTTGAACTCAGATTGGTTTGTTTAAATCTGATCTAGGATCTTTTTTTTGGGTGATTGAAAGAATGTTGTTATTTTATCTGTTGTGGATTTTATTGTTTTTGTACTTCTTTTTTGATTTTTTAGTTCTTTCAAGGATGAAGTACATGACTTGTGGAGAATTTAGTTTGACTATTTGGGTGATTTGTGAATATTGAAAGAGATATTATTGTTATTGGTTTTGATGTGTTGTCTTTTATTAGATTAGATTTGTTTTTGTGAGGGTTGATTTTGATGGGAACTTTGGAAGAATATTAGTGGATGATCTTGACTTGCTTGGACTCTGTGAGATGATTTGATTGAAAATGGTTTTGATTTATATGCTGATCTTGACTTGCTTTGAATAAGTGAAATGGTTTGATTGAAAATGGTTTTGAATAAATCAATGTTGAGTGGTAAAGATTTGATCTTGATAAGTAGATGGTAGGATCCGATATAGAGGATTTATGATCTTGACTAGCTTGGATTCTGCCGAATGATTTGTTTGAAAGTGGTTTTGATTTATATGTTGATCTTGACTTGCTATGAATAAGTGAAATGGTTTGATTGAAAATGGTTTTGAATAAATCAATATTGAGTGGTAAAGACTTGATCTTGATAAGTAGATGATAGGATCCGATATAGAGGATTTCTGATATTGACTAACTTGGATTCTGCAGAATGATTTGATTGAAAATGGTTTTGAATAAATTAATGTTGAGTGGTAAAGACTTGATCTTGATAAGTAGATGATAGGATCCGATATAGAGGATTTATGATCTTGACTAACTTGGATTCTGCAGAATGATTTGATTGAAAATGGTTTTGATTTATATGCTGATCTTGACTTGCTCTGAATAAGCGAAATGGTTTGATTGAAAATGGTTTTGAATAGATCAATGTTGAGTGGTAAAGACTTGATCTTGATAAGTAGATGGTAGGATCCGATATAGAGTATTTATGATCTTGACTAGCTTGGATTCCGTGGAATGATTTGTTTGAAAATGGTTTTGATTCATATAGATGATCTTGACTTGCTCGGACTAAGCGAAATGAATTGATTGAAAATGGTTTGGAATAAAATCAATGTTGAGTGGTAAGACTTGATCTTGATAAGTAGATGGTAGGACCGACATAGAGGACTTATGATCTTGACTAGCTTGGATTCTGCGGAATGATTTGTTTGAAAATGGTTTTGATTCATATAGATGATCTTGACTTGCTCGGACTAAGTGAAATGATTTGATTGAAAATGGTTTGGAGTAAAATCAATGTTGAGTGGTAAAGACTTGATCTTGATAAGTAGATGGTATGATCTGATATTGAGGATTTATGATCTTGACTAGCTTGGACTGAGCGAACTGATTGATTAGAAATGGTTTCGAACAAAGATAATATTGAGTTCTGATGAAGAACTACTGAGAGATGTGGTAAAGACTTGATCTTGATGTGGATGGTAGGATCGATATAGAGGATTTTTATAGTTGATCTTGACTATCTTGGACTAATGGAATGATTGATTGAAAATGGTTTTGAATAAAGCAATGTTGAGTGTCACTGAAGAACTACTTAGAAATGTGGCAAAGAGTAAAGAGTTGATCTCGATAAGTAGATGGTAGGAATCGATATATATAGATGATTTTGACTAGTCTTGGACCAAGTGAAATGGTTGATTGAAAATGGTTTTGAATAAAGGCAATGTTGGGTTCTATTGAAGAACTACTGAGGAATGTGCGATAAAAACTTGATGCTGATACACTAATGTTGTGAATAGACAAGAACAATTGTTTTTTTAACCAATTGCAAGTTATTTATGAATATGTTTGCCTTCTAATTTTACAATCTTGACTCATTTACAAAGATTTTGCAACTTATCGATATCCATACTGGTGTAGTTCAAACCCTCAGAGATTGACGCTATCCTGAATGATTTTAATGAACCCGGTTCACTTGCTCCAACTGGCCTGCATCTTGGTGGCTCAAAGTACATGGTCATTCAAGGGGAATCTGGGGTTGTCATTCGAGGAAAGAAGGTATCTTTTATGACATTCAGAATCTTGTTGAATTGAAACTGCAGACAATAGGTTGTGCATTCTGTTTAAGCAATGCAGAGCATAATTATGTGATTTTCTTACTATGCAACTTATCTAGTGTTCGTTGAGGGTGTTATGTAGTACTTCAGGATCTTCTCTGTTAAACAACCAGAATCCGTATTACATTTCAGAAAGTTGTGGAAAGTTCGTACTTATTTGGAGATTAATTGAACTAAATCAAATGTGGATAGTTCATAATCTTACTTCAAGTGGCTGTTCATGACACTCCATTCTTTTTTGTTCAGGGACCGGGTGGTATTACTATCAAAAAGACTGGTCAGGCAATACTTATTGGTATCTATGATGAACCAATGACTCCCGGCCAGTGTAACCTGGTTGTTGAGAGGCTCGGCGATTATCTCATTGATCAAGGTTATTAATTTGTTGGTAAGTGTTATCCACCTTTGCGATTTCTTTTAGGTATTTTCTTACGCAAGATTGACTTTCTAATTACCTGCCTTCATTTGAAATGGTTGCAGAATTTCCTTTCAATATGTTTGTATTGAAGATTGTGGTGTTTGCTGATGATGGATACTCAAGAGTTGGGAAGTGGTAGATATGATACCTTTCTGGATTCAACAGTTCTCTCTTTGTATTTTGATTTTGCAAGAATTGGTTTAAATTATTTTCAAGTGAGACCCTCTGATTATTTTTGAGAGGGGAATTTGTTGTTGGTACCTATAAATGGATTTCACTTTGCACAAAATTTGGCTTGTGTAATATACAGCTCCTGGATTTTATCTGTCAAAATCTTTTTCAGACATGCTTAGCTTCTGTTTCTGTGTATTTTGTATTCACAACCCCTTAAATCAGATTCCCTCCACCCACCCCACCACCACCACCACAAATTCAGGCACATCAATCAAAGACCTTGCTTACCGGATAACTTTTGTAGTGAAGGAGAGAAAGTTTGACAAGCTAAGAGTCTCGTTGAAAGCAGAAATTCTGACTATGATGAATATTTTCACTAGTTTCAAAGGCTTGGTTGACCCTTGGGATTGAATCTGGCAAGGGGGCAATTCTGACTATGATGAATATTTTCACTAGTTTCAAAGGCTTGGTTGACCCTTGGGATTGAATCTGGCAAGGGGTGCCCCTTCTAAACGACTAAAACCTCGTTATGCCAAATATAGTAGGGGTGATTGACTCATCCTCTACTTGATGTTTTTTCCTCTTCACTAGTTTCAAAGGCTTGGTTGACCCTTGGGATTGAATCTGGCAAAGGGGTGCCCCTTCTAAACGACTAAAACCTCGTTATGCCAAATATAGTAGGGGTGATTGACTCATCCTCTACTTGATGTTTTTTCCTCTTCACTAGTTTCAAAGGCTTGGTTGACCCTTGGGATTGAATCTGGCTAGGGGTGCCCTCTAAAAGACTAAAACCTCGTTACACCAATGATCCCCTTTTTAGCACCCCCAAAATGTTGTATCCAACAATAATTCAACCAAGCATGATACACCTCAACCTCAGTCCCAGCTAGGCAAATTGTACATATTTCTTTGACCATTTAATGGCCACACCTTATTCAAAAGGACAACTTTCCCCAGCATAGAGCAGTTAAGATCAAAAACTATTGAGAGATATTTCCTCTTAAATAAAAAGGACCACAATGGTGCATAGAACATTGTGTTAGCAGGGTCAGAGGAGCCACACCTTAAGGGATGAGATGTAGACAACTTACTGACTTAAAACAGACTAACTTTTCTGATATATATAGGACCATGATCTGCAACTTGCTTTCCAAATACTTGATGCATGAGAAAAGTTGATTTAACTAAAATGAATTAGTACCAAGTTTGCTAGCCAATCACAAACAAGATGGATTACAAATGTTTCCACAGTTTGAATGACTGGAAATATCTTCTATTTTACATCTACCAAGGATCTCTACCTTGGCTATCATACAAAATTTGTGCAGTATAGATGACATCTGCATCAATAACCCAAGCATCCTTGGGCTCCAACACATTTGAGCCTTCTCAAGGGAAACTTATATCACCTTGCATTATCCTGCTTTTACATTTTTTCATTCCAGAATAGGCATCGTTCTATTCATCCGAGACATGTTCAGAAGAGTACCAGAAAGAACAAAGGAAAAGCCACAAGTAGATGTTGAGTCCACCAATAACTCCTTTGAGGGGATGATGATGAAGACTTGGAAGGACCAACGGTTGTATTATTAACGATAGCTTTTTTACCCCTGTGAATTTTAAAATCAGAAAACAAACATTATTATCGGAGGAGGGCAAGAATACACTAGTGTGTGTGTGTGTAGTTGAATAATGATTTAGTTAGATGTACATACCCAGTCGTCGCATAGAGACAGTTATCATAACCTGTATTGAGAAAGAGCTGTCAGACTAGATTTCAAACACAAGGATGAAGATATCTGGCACATCTTTGTTTGAAATACGGTACATGACTACTTCAGAATATGCAGCTGAAGTAGTGTTTGTGAATCAGCAAATTTACCGACATAGGAACGTCATCAAACTAAAATTGTTAATATCACTCAGCTACATCTGTCTACATACTGACAGCATCCAGGTAGCAGCATAAAATAGACCTTGTAGCTTTTTTTTTAAACTGGTAATGTTATTGTACTTCTACAGCAAATGGACTACACTAACAATCAACACTGAACGTTACCATGAGCCATTTTGAAATTTGACAGTTAAAATGTTTGTACCTCGAGGGGTCTTTCAGGTTTGCCTCTCTACCTCCACGAGGTAGGGGTAAATCTGCGTACACTCTACCTTCTGCAGATCCCACCTATGGGATTACATTGGGTAGGTTGATGTTGGTCAAATCTGATTTTTTGACTTATTGTGTTTGATGCTCTAAGAAGATTGATAGGACTACACAGTTTAAGGCAAAGAGATGTAGAATAGAGATGTAATTCTACATTTACAAGATCCTAGTACTACCTAGTCTAATTGATCTGTGAAGAATTGATCAAGGTATAAACATGCATTAAAAGAAGAGAATGAAATGAGTCTGTCTACATACTTGGATTCTTGTTTGTTCTAACGCCAACTCCTCCAAAAGTGCAAGCAATGTCAGTAGCTCCATTTTGCTGGTAGTAACTGTTGAACGCAAAAGAAGCATGTGATGCAAAGTTATCAGGCTCGAAACAAGGCTGGCTAGGTTGTATAGCGGAGCAGTCTACATTTCCAGAACCACAAGCCCAACTCAAGGCATTCTGAAGTTCAGCTTCAGATGCAGAAGATGAGGCAATGCACCACGTTCCATTTGAACCGGTATTGTTTCCACCTGCAGTCATGTCTACAACACCCTTACCGGTAAAATCAAGGTTATATACACTTGTCTGGTCTGGGAAAAATAAACCCCAGTTCCTCTCAGATTCTAAACCAGGCTTCCTGTTCTCATTGAACAATGAGAAAACATAAACATCAACTGCTCCTCCTGGCTTCGCAGGAGTTCCAGTATTGTTGATAACATGTCGTATCAAATTTGTGTTGTAAGTCTGTGCATTATCTGGTGTTGCAGCTGTCTCTTTTGGTGATCCTTTAGATGGCCAGCCTGTCTCAGTAACCATGATATTAACTGTTTTGAAATTTAGAGCCATTAAAGCATAGTTAATAGCATCAAGTTGAGCATCAAACATGTTCGTATAAAGTAGACCAGTGTTGGGATCAATCACTTCAGAGGATGCCTCAAATAGAGCATAGTCTAGGGACACATTGGTAGAAGAATCTCTATATGCATAATACGGATATAAGTCAATCATAAAAGGTGACTGATTCTCTGCAAGGAATTCCAACATCGGTTTTAGAAAAGAGGCGTGACTACTGTTAAATGCCCCTGCAGAAGGTGGGAATGATCGGGATAATACACCCAATGAATGGGTACTAGAGACTTTAATCCTCCTATGAAGACCAGCTTTTTTCAAAGCTGTAAACACATTTTGCATTGCAGGTACCACCAGAGCAGCTGTAGTATTTGGGGCTTCCGTGAGTTCAGCACCAACGGTTATGTAAGTGATTTTCGTGGCTGGATAGTAAGGAAGTATGCTATTTTTTAACCATGTATTGGCATTAGACTCAAATTGAGAAAACGCCAGCAAGTCTGAGTTTGGAATTCCAATCATAAGCTCAATTCCAGTATTCGCAAAGGCCTTGAGGACCTGAATATTTGAGTCGTATATCCTTACATATTTGATGTTGTGCATTTGAATGAGCTGCACAGCTTTTTCAGGAGTAGGAAGATCATCGGCATTTCGTCCATAGCAAATTCCAACTCTGCTTGCTCTGCAAATGCCTGCCATATAGTGAAGAATGGTCAGCAGTCAGCACAGGAATATCCAAACGAACTATCATTGGTAATACAACATGCAACTCTTTCTGGTATGGAAAACACCCAAGTAACCAAATTACGATGTCTCTAAGCAAAGGTTTAGGCATATACATCACTATTTGCCGTCATTTTGCAGCTTAATTATTACTTCTATATAATTTGTCACTTTTTCAATTAAAATGACTCCCACACTAACAGATCATTTCAATATTCAACAAAGACGAAGTAAGGTTCTCAGCAACTAGAGGTTATGTAAGATACAAATTTCTGAAATAACTAAAAGAAATCCAATGTGTTGTACCAATGCATATTGTATCAGTTGTTCACTTATTCTCCGAGCTCATACTTTTGTTAATATAGTTGGTCAGCATGAGCTACTCAACCACCCTTTGTACATATTTAGTGGAGAGGTCATGCAAATGGTAAGAGACCATTCTCCTCAACAAAAAACAAATGTACAACACACGAAACACATTGCTCTGACTTGCAATGTACAACACACAAAACACATTGCTCTGACTTGCAATGTGGGGCGCTGACAAAAAGAAGCGATCAGGTGAATGAATCCATTCGACTATTAATTCGTTCATCGTTGCTCGTTAAAGATTGAAATTTGTATGCAAATCCAGTACTTAGAACCAGTGTTGGAGCCACATGTATTCAAGGGGGTCTCATCAATTGACACCCCATTGTCGGAAAATTACATGTATAGCTGGTAAAGAAGTCTTTTTTATGTATATATTACAATTGACTCCTCTTGACTTCTTCGTGGGTTTACTCTTTTATATCTTGACACCCCCAAGGCTAAACAAATATCCTGACTGCGCCACTGCTTAGAACCAACTTCCCTAACCTCCTCAAGTCCAATTATAATTTGAGGTTTTAGCAGATAATAGCTAGTTATGAAGAGGAATCTCGAAACCATTACAAATGCAATCAACATCACTAATAAAGCTAGAAAAGAACAGCATTCAAAATGCAACCACCAGATTCAAAGTAGTCAGAAACAATTACAACACAATAATGCATATATAGTGGATCACAGCTAACAAGTTCTGTCGTTTTTCACATGTTGTAATACTTACACAAGTCATGGAAATGAACCACATACAAAAAACAGAAGTAATGGAAAACAGACAAATAGTAAGTTCAACTATAAGAGGACAAAGTGGACCAAAAAACCAAAGTTATATATTTCCTTTAAGTCAATATACACAACATAAGCAGGGGTAAACACATGGTATTTACTTCATTTCAATACAGATTAGATTTTTTAAATGAAAACCTCAAATGAAGCAAAGCATAACCTTGTCAAAGTTTACTGCAAAATTTAATCTTTATGCCAGAAAAATAGTTACATACACTAAATATAATGATTGACACTTGTGATTATAGCACTGGAAACTGAAACAAGGAGTTAATATGAGTAAAATTATCATCAAGAGCCTAAAGAAAAAAAATCTGCAATTTTGACTAAAGAAATGAGAAGAGTAGAAGTACCAAAAAATCAGTAAGAGCAAAAATATGCTATTACTATTAAAATGAATCCCCCAAATGAAGCAAGGTATAATAAGCTGGTCAAAGCTAACTACAAAAATTTAATCTTTCTGCCACAAAATAGTTACATACACCAAATACAGCTACATTAGTTGGAGGGGGGGTATGAAAGTGAAGGAAATGATTAACACTTATGATTAATGCAATAATGAACCACACAACTGAAACAAATAGTTCAATATGAGTGAAATGTATCATCAAGAACCATTTAATCAAACATCACTCAAAAAACAATCTAAACTTTTGATAAAAGAAATGAAAAGTCTAGAAGTACCAAGAAGCATTTAGAACAATGAAGCTCATCACTCAAAAAATCTGTACTTTTTACTAAAGAACTGATAAGGGTATAAGTACCAACTACCAAGAATCATCAAGAGCTCACAATGAAGCACATCACTCAAAAAAATCTGAACTTCTGATTAACAAATGAAAACTGTAACAGTAGCAAGAAGCATTAAAGAACAATGAAGCTCATCACTCATAAAAATCTGAACTTTTGATGAAAAAACTGACAAGGATAGAACTACCAAGAATCATTAAGAGCTCAAGCTCATCACTCAAAAAAATCTTAACTTTTTACTAAAGAAATGAAAAGGGTAATAAGTACAACTACCAAGAACCATTAACAACACACAATATTCAGCTCATCACTCAAAAAAATCTAAACTTTTCACTATACAAATAAAAAGAGTATAAGTAATTACCAAGAATCACTAAGAGCACAGAAGCTGCAAATATGATACTAAATCCTCTTGCCATTCTACTTTCTCCACACCAACTTTGCCTATATGAATCTTCTTCTTCTCTTTATTTACCTCAAGAAATGTGCTTTCTCTTTATTAGGCAAATACACTTTTTATCACAACGGCTCTTTGTGAGCTCAAGAAGACTGTAGCCACTGCAAAAATAGTACAGAGCTGTGTGTGTCGGACAGTGTTAGCGGATTCAAGAATATATTATCAAATGGAGTTGAGAGAATTAGCCTCGATTCCGCAGCTTTAATTAAAAATAAGTTGTGTACAGTTATGTTTTGGCATATTAGCATGTTTGTTCCCCACCACAAGGAAAGTATAAATACCAAACTAAAATCCCGAGTTAATAGTCAAAAACACAATGCGTATAGGCTAATTAAATATTGAAGTGTGTTTTTGCTATCTATTTAAGGTGATTTCATTTTTAGAATTCGAACACGATATATTTGATTACACCCTACTCAAGAATGAAGAGATATTTGTTTTTGCTATCTATTTAAGGTGATTTCATTTTTAGAATTCGAACACGATATATTTGATTACACCCTACTCAAGAATGAAGAGATATTTGTTTTTGCTATCTATTTAAGGTGATTTCATTTTTAGAATTCGAACACGATATATTTGATTACACCCTACTCAAGAATGAAGAGATATTTGTTTTTGCTATCTATTTAAGGTGATTTCATTTTTAGAATTCGAACACGATATATTTGATTACACCCTACTCAAGAATGAAGAGATATTTGTTTTTGCTATCTATTTAAGGTGATTTCATTTTTAGAATTCGAACACGATATATTTGATTACACCCTACTCAAGAATGAAGAGATATTTGTTTTTGCTATCTATTTAAGGTGATTTCATTTTTAGAATTCGAACACGATATATTTGATTACACCCTACTCAAGAATGAAGAGATATTTATACTCTATCCTCAAAAAACTTTGGAGTTTCAATTTATTTATATTCCCATAAAAAAGCTACACATTCAAAATTAAATGCTCCCTCCCTATACAAATAGACTATTCTCAAGATTCGACTTAAAATATTAAATTTTAAATGAAGAAATGCTTATCAGCCTATCATAATATTCTATGGTGATTCGTTGTATTTCGTGTATGTAGTCAAATAATTTTAAGAAACATACATTTGTAGTTACTGATGTAACATTTCATGTTCATTGAATTTAAATTCTCCAAAATTAGAAGTATTTAGGAGTACAAAATATGAAGCACATGAATTTGGTAAAATTACCATTTTGTCCTCAAATAGAAACTTTCGAGGTTTTGATTCATCGCAAAGAACATGATAAGAACAAATGGAGAATGCAATTGTGGAGTTAGTATAATGAGATTTGTTAAATTAATCATAGAAAAATTATTGACCTTTAGCATTCAATCAATTAATCCCACCAACAGAAAGAAAAAAAAAACATTTTTAGGATTAACTCGTAATTTCTAGAACTCATAATATATGAATAATGGAGTATATGTTAAATCAAGTTGTCCCAACTAGTGAATTATTGAGGTACCTTTTTCATTTGAGCTTTTGTGTATTTCATAATTCATCAAGTTAGGTCCTTTTTTTTATTCGATGTTTAGTATTCGTATTAAAATCTAATTAAACTCAAATAGCATATTGCAACGCCTATTTAGAAAAAACATTCTCAAAAATATTTTTTTATTTTCAAATCCAAAATCTAACGGAGGAACCTCAATCATCCCACCACAACTCATATCGATAAGCTTTTACATCTTGTTATGTAGAGGGAGTAGGTCCCAAATGTGAGACACGACTAAGCTTTAGTACAAAAAAATCTGAATTCTGAAATAAAATCTAAAGGATCCCTTAGGTCCCCATACATATTATTTTTTTAAAATTGAAAAGACATTTATAAATCATTTTGAATATATATTTGTTTATCAAATTTATCCATTATTTCAACCTCAATCAGAAATAAAAAAAAGATTTTAGGATTTGATTCATGTCTAAACGCCTAATATGTCCTTTAAAAGGAAATAATTAGGTGTATTAAATATACAATTTAACGAATTAAAATAGATTGAGTTAACGATTTTAAGCATTTTTTTATGTACTAGTCCACTAATTTTCCAGGTCAAACGACTCCGTTGGCCCCCAAACTAGGCTAGGGCATGAGTGATGACTAGTACTCGTTGCATTTTCATTAATGGCAAACTAATAAATGTGCTCGTAATGAATAAATCAATATTTTTCCTATCAATTTATAAGTAGTGAAAATCAAATACAATAAACATTCTGTAATATTTTTGCTCTGTTCAAATATATTTCATTTCAATACTAAAACTAAAAAGAGGAATAAAGAAAAGTACCCAAAAAAAACTCATATTGAGGTTAAATTTTGTAAACAGGAGTGATTCCCAGCAGATGGAAACACTTTCTCATGACAACTGCTGTTGCCTCACACAGCAAGAGTCTGCTTGTTTCCTCGGCCGAGCCAACGACCTGCAAAGTTCCGAAATATGTTCATAAATGCAAGCTATCGCATATTTATTCTAACAGTATACATTTTCGTTTAACTATCGAGTATCCAAAGCCATTGGTCCAACTAATCTAAATTCGCGCCAGAGAGGGGTTGCTAGGGGTAAAACGCTCTCTACTGAAAAACTCTTCTAGTTAATGGTAGAATAGATTAGTTAGAGCTTGTTTGTTTGGATTGGCTTATATTATAGGTGCTTTTGAGCTATAAACCCATCCAAACAAGCTCTAATCCGTGTGTAGATGTAGTGGATGAGTTCCCTATGTTGGGATAGACACTCGGATTGGAACAACTACTCTAAGAGATCTAACCGATACACACATTCCTCCATTGGCTAAACCACCGCTTCAGGCAAACCTTTTTTCCTAACTGGATCTTAACTCACCCTACAGCACAGCCTAAGTGGTTTCTATATTCAAGATTTTCATGAATCTTAGACAATGAACTATAATTACAGTGAGTGGTTCAAGCTGGTCTATAGCGACTTCAGCCAACAGTTTAAAGGGGGGCATGGTATTTGTTTCACCATTTTTTTGGTTTAGCTTTATTTGTTGGTAGGAAAATTTCATACCTGACAGTTGGTATAGAATTTAGTGAAGTCTTCAGATATATTGTAAAGATATTCACACACCAAGTGTGGCAAAAGACTGGTACAAGCGTCTTCAACAATCTGCAAAAGAGATGACAAAATTTTTACTTGATTAGAACTATGCAGTAGCAATAAGAAATCATTAAGTGATAACAAGATTTTTTTAAAAAATCTTACTTCAGCAAACTGGAGCAAATGGAGGCCTAGCATACGTTCATCTGGATGAGCCAAATCTATTGCCGCACTCTGTCCAGCGAAAATGAATTGATAAGCACCACAAATAGTAATTCTACATCACTCTTGTAACTTTAACATTACTGAAATATCTGTTGCACGGATGCACCAGTGCAAAGGTGTGAGAGGTTGGCTATGGATGGTTATAGGAGAGGCAGAGGAAGATTGAAGAAGTATTGGGGACATGTGATTAGACAGGGCATGACGCAGCTTCAGCTTACCAAGGAGATGAGCTTAAGATAGAGATTATGGATGACACAGATTAGGGTAGAGGGCAAGTTGGGTAGTTGAGAATCGGCTTAGTCTTTCATACTAGTAATAGTAGTATTACTCTGGGAGAGTTTCATGTTATTCCATTTCTGCTCCCAGATTTCAATGGGTATGTTGTCGTACTGAAATATCTGTTTAACATTAACAAACTACCTAGTTATCATGTGTTTGCCTACTTCAAGAATTTTTGGGCGGCCATAAAGGGGCCTAAAAGCAAACGGTTGAAAGGTTATTCGGCACACCCGACTAACCTGTGGACGAAACTCTTGACAAAGAAGAGTTCAGTTGGGGCACATAAAATAGATGAGATTATCAGATTACCTTTTTTAACTCCTCTATATCTTTACCAGACTTCCTGATGATTGAACAAATACGAGCATGTGCATAGAGCAAATAAACAGCGGTATTTCCCTGCCAATCACAGAAGAATACAAGAGAATCAATTCTGAACAGAGAAACAGAATATAAAAGGCAGCAGCAAAAATAAGTAACTAAGAGAACACGTCCGTACAGATAGAGAACAACTACAAAATGAAAAAACATGGACTCCTCGAAAACAAAATCAGTTAAAAGAACATGTAAAGACTCTTGTGCTTCAATTATAAACCAAGTGAATGGAATAACTGAGTTGTTTCTGTATAAACTAAAAGAATATAAAGAGGAGCCAAATGACTAAGGAAGACATCTGGTCAATTTGAAGAATTGAAATTGGGTCGAATAACCTGTTGAAAATGATTAACAGATCTATTCATTTCATGAAACAATATCCATTCACATACCTTATCACTAAGCATCTGATCAAAATTGAAGGTGTAATTGGTCAACCTGTTGTTCTTCAGGTCAGCGTATCTGGTTTAAGGTACCAAAAGAAAGGGAGAACAAAGGAAAAGTCAGGAACTTACTGAGACAAAAAGAAAAGCACCAAAACATATGTATAGAAAAACTCTTACTACGTCAAAATCACCTATTGTAAAAACTGCAAAGATGAGATATCACATCTAAAGATGCATAACAATACACCACATCCTTTTAGGCAGAAAGGATGTTTGCCCAAGATTGAAAATGTTTCTTTCTAGTGCTCTTTTTATGAAATAATTAACTCCGTTTCAATTTGTTTGTCTGGTTTTGACTTGGCACAGAGTTTAAGAAAATAAAGAAGACTTTTGAATCTTGTGATCTTAAATTAAAGATATGTGGAATGTACCAAAATGTCTTTTAATCTAGTGGTCCTAAACATGTCATGTGGAAAGTTAGAATTAAAGAGTAGCCAAAAAAAGAAAAGGGCATTCTTTTTAAATGGACTAAGAAAAGGAAAGCAAGACAAACAAATTGAAATGGAGGGAGTACTTTCTTTGGTTCTAGATCACTGTATGGCAAATTTGACTAGATGCGG